GACACCACAGAAACCAAGCTTGGGCTACCTGTGGTTGGAAAGGTCAAGGAAAAACAATTTCGAGCTTTGGAGCCTTAACTAGTGTCTCTAGGAGTTTTTATTCCAAAACGGAGCGAACGTTCGAGAAGTAAGCTATTACTCGGTGTAATAGTGCAGAACTTGACTACAAAGAAAAGAAAATTGGTCTTGGTTAGCGTGTTGGCATTTTAGCTAAACGCATTTTTCTGCGAAGAAGAAGTAACCGAGAAAGTTGTGAAGAATAACTTCGGGAATCATCTTTTGTGATTCGTACCAGGTAACTTAACAGAATTTCACGACAAAATGATTTTAAAGAGATAGCACAGTTTTGTTTATGCAAACATTTTGAATCCCCGACTAGATATAGATCAGTAACTGGTAAGCTGCATTAGAAAAGCGCTCTCTTAGAAAAGCCGGTTTTTCGATAAGCTCCACTGAGAGCTAGTCATAGGAAGTGAATTCTCTTCAAATTGTATTGAATATTAAAATCGACAAGGTGATGTTTCTTAATCAGTATTGAACTTGAAACTACCTAAGAGTGAGATATAATAAATGTAATGTTAGAATATTTCAGATAACRTCTCGTAAGTGCGTTTTTATCATATATATATTCTCTCTGACATTTTTAAGTGTAATCTTAATCATGAAGTATGACGTCCTCAAATTGAAAGCATTTCAACTGTATGTCGTAGTTAACAAAGAACTTGAATGGTAAGAAAATGTGAAACTTTAAAACCGAAATTCACCTTGTTAAATCGAGATTTATTACAAGACGTAGCTGAAAACCTCTGTGAAATAAAAAAAAAAGGTGCAATATTGCAAAATCTTCAGTTTATTCTAATGATCTTAGCCTGGCAGATTATATCTATTTTGCATTCGTCCGCCTAAAAATTGGTAAAAACCACACGTGAGACACTCAACGGAGCATTAATTAAGCCTACAGTTCTTGAAAAATAAGAGAGCTATGTTGTGACAAGAGCAGAAAGAAAGATAATTGAATCTTTCCTGCCAAGTTATTTTAGCGCATGAAAAGGTAGAGTGCTCGCACTAAACCCGTGAAACAAATACTATTTTTCAGTACTAAATGGTGATAATTAAACAATAGGAAACRAAGGATTCTGTATGAATTACTACTAATTAGTACTAAATATTATTCACGGGTTTAGTGCCTGCACTCTATCGTAGAATCGATGATAATGTACGTGATGGAAAACTAGATAAGCTAACGAGAAATCTTTTGTTAACGTATACCAACATGGCGGTGATGATGTTAACACTGAATGATTAAAATGACAAAGACATGGCGGCATTATACAAATTTTAACATTATTAAAACATTGTTATCGTGTGTTCTTTTAGGATCATCCATGATGTTCAAGGCGTTCCTAGCGGTTTTTCTTGGTGCTGTTACGTATCATTCGAACCACGTGACCAATGCATTGTTTATATCTTGGAAAGAAAAACCCCAAATTACTGCAGACGATATTTTTATTGATCTGAAAAACTTGTTAGTTCCAGGTAATTTAATGTTGGCTATTTTTCTTTCTATTTCATTTGAGGTTTGGTGGATGGGTGGAAGGTATAGGGGAGGGAGGGAGGGAGGAAGGGATGGATGGATGGATGGATG